GAAACCAAGACAGACACAGGCATCCCGTTCATACTCTAGGATGCTGGATTCTGCAGTTAAGGAGATTTACAATCTCCAGCGCATCCACCGAGAGCTGCTTGTCTCACTAAGCACGAGAAATACAACCAGTGTGACTGTGAAGCTGAAACTCTAATTGTGTTTTATTTTGGGGATTTAAACAAGCATGGGTAGAGAGAGATACGTGAAAATAGACAACATCACTCCAGATAGAGCTCAGGCACATTTCCAAGACTGACTGAGCAGAATGAAGATGCAGTGGAAGAGAACTGTGCCCAAAGCACCCAGAACAGAGCCCCGGGCATTCTTACTTGTCTATGCATCTATTCAGTCGATTCTACTGAATGTCACCTACGTATAAACCTCAGGTGCTGGGGATGTAGTGGAAACATAGGTTCAGCTCTGCCCTGAGTGAGTCTGTAGCTCAGTGAGGACATGTGAAAGAAATGTCTTCACCATGGCAAGACAAGTCTATACTCTATGCTACTGAGACCTCCATCTTCCACGCACAATGGGGAGAGGTTTTCAGAAGGATCTATCTGGCCCTGAGCTGAGTCCTGCAGAGTTGATTTCAGTGATAAGACTCAGACGAGGCTTTTTCCATGTGTAACAACATAAAGCTACTGCCCCAGTTGCTGGTAGTAGCGGCAGGTATGAGGCAAACACAGCTCTAAAGAAAACCCATGACCAGGGCCAATTCATTTCTTTTAAAATTGCCCTCTTGTGGGTTGGTGGTAGTAGTGGTGGTGTCTTCTTGGCTTTCTTCTTTGCCAGCCACATACTCTTTGACTTGGCAGTAGTTTCGTGATGATAATCCCTTGGCGTGTGTGTATGTGTGCATATGTGTGTATGAATACATATGCGTGTATACGAATGTGTGTGTGCATGCATAGGTGTGTGTGGTTGGAATCTCTCTACTTCAAACTTTCTCCACTCTATAGTTTGTGACATGATCTCTCACTGAACCCAGAGCTCACTGATGTAGCCAGGTTGGCTGGCCAACCAGCCCCAGGGACCCTCCTCTCTCCATTCCTCCCAGTACTGGGATTGTAGGCACACAACACATGCCTCTTTCGTTTTCATGTTGGTGGTGTGGTCTAAACTTGGTCTCCCTTATTGAATGGGTATGGCAAGGGCTCTACTGCTGAGCCAATTCACCAGCCTACAACCTCCTAAAAATGGTCTCATCTGGAGTTGTCTTGATTGGATTTTTTTTTTCTGGGTGGTGTTGCTGCTACTTGATTAGACAAACTTGGCTACTTATAAGTAAAGATGGTTTTGCTGTGCGATTCTGATACTTGTAGTAAACAAATGGCTCTGTGAATCTGGCCAGAATGTGAAGAAGCTGTGGCTGCTGGGAATCTATTGAACCTGACTGTGATGGTGGTGTATGTTTACAAGGGTGAGGATTAATGCAATCACTGGGTGAAGATGAGGGATAGTATATACATTTATATATTTTTATGCAACAGTTTGATTTGTTCCAAGTTAACATGTGGTGCCCAGCCAAAGAACTGTGTAGCCCACAGTTAGTCACATAAAACTAGGTACAGTTTTAAAGCTAAGCACTTTTGTAGAAGCTTGTAATCCCATCACTGTGGAGGTTGAGGCAGAAGGATTGCTGGGAGTTTGAGGCTAGCTTGGTCTACATTAGTGAAGACTTTGTATCAGAAAACAACAGCAATAAGTAAGAAGAGCCTGATATGAAGCAGTTTCCACATCCCTATCTGAGTGCATGAATTAAATTGCATGTGTGACTTCTCCCATCCCGCCAGGGATGCTCATGTACGTGGCTTTATCCTGTCAAGTCCTACACAATTCTCGTGTAGCTAAGCTTTACCTACTTAGACTGTGGTAGAGCTGCCTCTAGGGAAATGGAAGTGTAAGTCGGTGTAGCTCTTCTATTCTTACAAGGAACAGTGGCTTCTTGTGTACCTATAAGGAACCTCCAAATAGTTTTGGCCTTTGCCTTGGCAATTCTCCTTCTGGGAATCCACCCGAAAGAAGGAACTGGAAATGTGCGTGGTAAAGAGTTTGCCCAGACTTACTGGTAGTTGCCGAGGAGAGCGGGCAAGTTAAATAGCTAACAGCATAATAATACACAGCTGGGAAATGATGCTGGCGAGAGGATGCTTGCTACAAGACCAAGTAAGGAAAAAAACAAAAAGCCAGAGGCACAATAGCGACCGCACATCACAGCCGGGGAGCGTGGGTTTGCACTGCGGCTCTGCCGCTGGAGTCGGTCACCTGTACACTCTGCCATCCTAGAGAAATGGGGTTGATAATAATAACACCTGTCTCCGAGGGATTTCCTAGGATTAAGTGACATGATGAAGATAGAACGATTAACACCATGCAAAGTGCACTTATTAGGTTACCTACAAATGCTAGCCCTCTATGGAGTGTAGGACCTCAAGGCGTAAAAATAGACAGACGAGAAATATGTCAATGTATTAAGAAATGTGGGATCTGGGTGGAAGGAACCATGGGCGATAATTTTTCACTTTCAACTTCCCAAATTTTCTGCAATGAGCAGGAACTACTGTTATATTAAGGGACTATCATACTGTTGTAATAGAATTCAATATGTATTTTTTAAAAAGAATGTTACCCACAATGAAACAGCACTTCCTCTTTCCCTTCCAGGGGAGGAGCTGGAACCAGCCTTGGCAAACACTCCCAGTCTCATGCTGGGCCCCAACAAGGGTCAGGGGTTGAGGGAGCCTTGCCACCTGTTGTTGTTGTGAGGGGAGGCGGGTGGGCAGTGGAGAAGATGGAATAGATGGTCATAGGAGTTTCTTCCAGTTCTAAGACTCTACTTTCAAGCTGCCCTGATGTTTATCATTTTCCCTCACAGTTTGGTTGATTTGAACTAAAGACTACATAAAATAATAGAAAGTGTAAGGGGATAGGGAGGTGGTTCATTGGTAAAATGATCGCTGCAGGAGCATGGAGATCTGAGTTCCGATCCATGTACACCCATATACAAAGCTGGGGAAGGCAGTGTAGTTCAATGCCAAGGAGGCTGAGATAGGATAGGAGAATTCCCAAACTTGATGGTCAGCCAGCCTAGCTGAATCAGTGAGCTCTGGGTTTAGTAATACCTGATCCCTAAAAATAAGGTAAAAAGTGATAGAGGACCTTACACACACACACACACACACACACACACACACGGCATATATATACACACACACAGAGAAGGGGGACATAGACACACAGAAAGACATGGAACATATACACACAGAGATATGGGGCATATACACACAGACATAGAATATGTACACACACAGACATGGGACATGTGCATACACATGCACACTGAAACATGGAACACGTACACACAGGCATGGGGCAAGTATACACACAGGGACATGTGCACACAAAGAGACACAGGATATGTACACACATGGGACGTGGGCACACACATACAAAAGCATTTTTCTACTTCCTTCCCACCCCTAGACCTCTCCCAGAAACAATGATGCCTAGAATAATGGAGTCAAATGTTAAGTGGATGGTGCGTGTGTGTGTGGGGGGGGGGGGATGGGCTTAGATCAGACCAGAAACACCACAGGAAATTAGCTTAGTTACAGCTGTCTTAGTTAATCAGTAAAATTTATATTCAAAGTGGAGTTTCTGTCAAATACAGCCCTTTAAGCAAGAAGCACCTTTCCATGGAGGGGACACCCCTAGACTGAGAAGGGTATAGTTTTAAAGGGTGTGTGTGTGTGTGTATTTGGTTCCTGATGTTTGTGCTGTGCATCAACATCCTTCAGTCCTTCATACCGTGAGGGTACCCAAGTGGCTCAGGGAGCTGCGCTGTATAAACACTGAATCCCCAGGCACCGAGACATAGAAGTCTTGTGTCTGACTACTGTACCTCCTTATGTTTGGAGGTGACCGTGGTATACTTCTAAACCTATGATGGGTCCTCAAGGCCCTGAAGCGAAAGCTTGACAAACAGCTCTCCTCAGTCCTCCTCCCCACAGGGAGGTCATCGTATGCTAATGAGGCCCTGGCAGATAAGCTAGGAGCCTGGGCTACTGAGCCTGGGGACTCACACAGCAACGTCACAAGTCACCTCGTTCCTTAGCAGACCCCTCTGACCCCCTCCTCCCTGGAGATGAGGGAGGGGTCTATGCGCTACCCCGAAGTGCGCAGCAGAACTGCTCTCGCGCGCCTGGTTCTTCCCTGTCCACTGCAACGGCGGCAGGGATGGAGGCGGACCCTCAGAATCACCTGTAGGGCTTTCAAGAAGTCCACAGCCCCCTCCTCAAATTCTAGTCCACTAATCCCGAGAAAAGGGACACCAGAAGATACGGCGTGAGGTGGTCGGGTGCAGTTTTTTGAATGCCCTATATCCCCACAGGTGATTCTAAATGCACCCCCATTAAGATACAAACACACAGACAGGTTTTGTGACCCAAAAGAAACAGGTCGGCTTTAGGTTCCCCTTGATATTCCCTCCTTTATTTGCCAAGCTGTCTGTATTCTCTTCAGCGTCTGTCTAAGCCTACGACACAAGAGGCTTTGAACTTGGAGTGTCCCAAAGTCTTAGAACCCCGCGGGACTATCAGGGGCTCTGGCCACCAGGCAACAGAAAGACAGCCCCTGCTCCCCGTAGCCCACTGGCTCCGCGTGCCGCGATCTGGATACCCTGGAGTCTACGTAAGAAAGGAAGACATTTGACCAGTTGCTTCAGCAAACTGCCCGAAGCAAGGCCGCCTGTCTCCCGCACACCTTCGCGTCCCGACCGACTGTACAGGGAGGGGGCCCCACCCTGCACAGTCCACTGGCGCATCCCCTCCCGCCCGGGTTTGTGGCAGGTGGCGCTGTCAGGATGGGCGCAGGGGCCTCATCTGCAGCTCCTTTCCCAGCCGCGGGACCCACTCTTGCTTTGCCCTGGTTTTCCAAGTTGCTGCCGCGTTCCCCCACATCCCCCCAAACTGGTAACCTCTGTTTTGTGGCCGCGGTCTTACCTCACCATGCAACACTTGGGTGCGCGCTTCCCGGGGGCGCTCCCTCCTAGCTGCTTATTCCCTTACTTGGGAGGAAAGAGGAACCGAGAGACACAAGGGGACCGAAGCGTGCGCCCGGGCGTCCTCTCAGTGCAGCCTCTCTGGGGCGGGGACATCAGGCGGCTTCCAGGGTTGGCGGCACCGGGGTCTTTCGCCTCTGTTTAGGGCTTCGACTGCTAGCAGGGCAGACTGCCTCTGCTGCCCACTACGGCACTGCGGCTCTGCACCCTGTCCCTCGCAGCATCGCAAGTCCAGCTGCCACTCTCACGGCGGAGCCCTGCCCCCCGGGCGCAGAGCCCGCCCCCGCCACACACCCGCGCGCGCAGACACACGCGTCCCCCACAAACACACGCGTCCCCCCCCCACACACACATAAACACGTGCGCGCACACACGCACACCCACGGATACCGATCGTTCGGTGGGAACCTGTGTGTGCATGATCAGGGCACTCCTGACTGACAGCGCTTTGGTCAGGGAGGATGCATGAAGTGCTGGAGGCTGCAAGAAACTGGCTGACTTCGAGGTAGAGAACAATTACTGGAAAAATACTGTATGCCCTGGCTGTTTATTTTCCTTAGCGTAGAAACACAGGGGTCTGAGCTGCCTACCTATTTCAACCAAGGCAGGTAAAAAATTTGAACATAAAAATCAATCAACAAGTTCTCTGTTTTCTAGGAACTTGGTGTCTCTGGTGTCCATTAGCATCAGTCCTGTACAGGAGGACATTTCTGACAGTCCTGAGACAGGGGCAGTAGATGGAGCATCATTTCTCCTCTGCAGGTATGAATGGTTGGGGTTCATGCAGCTTGCCACAAAGGGGCTCTGATGGAGGGATGCGGTCTCAGGAATGAGAACTGTGATGTTCTTCCCTTTGCCCTTGCATGACCTTGGACTGTCTTCCAACAGAACAATAGAGAATTTCTGAAACAAACAAAACACACCCCCACACAAGAAAACACACCTATGTACAAGAAAAAAAACAAACAATGTGCCAACTTGCACAGCCACTTTGGAAATCGGTATGGTGGTTTCTCAAAAAATTGTGCATCAATCTACATAAACCCAAAGGATGCAGACCCATACCACAAGGTCATGTGTTCAACTATGTTCATAGCAGCATTATTCGTAATAGCCAGAACATTGAAACAACATAGATGTCTCTCAGATGAAGAATGGATAAAGAAAATGTAGTAAATTTACACAACGGAGTACTACTTAGTGGTAAAAAGCAATGACATATTGAACTTTGCAGGCAAATGGATAGAACTAGAAAAAAACCATCCTGAGTGAGGTAACCCAAACACAGAAAGACGAACACGGTAGGCACTCACTCAAATGTGGATATTAGAGGTAAAGCAAAGGATAACCAGCCTGTAGTTCACAACCCCAGAGAAGACGGGAAACATTGAAAACCCTGAGAGATATACATGGATTCCCTCCTCCCTGCCGGAAGGGGAAGTAGACAAGATCTTCTTAGTAAATTGGTAGTGAGGGGTGGTAGGGGAATGGAGAGGGGAGAAGTGGAGTGAGGAGGAGAACAGGAGGGGTCAGGAAAATTGACTTGGGTAGGACAATGAGAGAGACAGAGAGAGAGACAGAGAGAGACAGAGAGAGAGAGGGACAGAGAGAGAAAGAGACAGAGAGAGAGACAGAGAGAGAGACAGAGAGAGAGAGACAGAGAGAGAGAGAGAGAGAGAGACAGAGAGAGAGAGACAGAGAGAGAGAGAGAGAGAGAGA